GCAAGGAAGAGAAAGAGAGGCAGAGAGAGAGGGAGCAAGGGTGGGAGGGAAGGAATGCAAGAGAGAGAAAGAGAGGCAGAGGGGGGGGAAGGAAGGGTGGGAGGGGAGGATCTGTTCGGGCATTTAGGTGAGGTAAGGATGTAAGAAGTGCGTGTCTCAATATTCAAAAGAGGTTGCTCTAACATGCAACATGTGGAAACTATTTCTGTGTGCCTGGACTGACCTCTCCCATGACAGATTCCATCATCTTTCAAGTGAGGGGATGTGGGGCTATGGGGTAGCTAAAATATAAAATAAGTCTGGAATAGGGCAAACCCAGTGTCCCAGATAGAACTGGAGCTGCTGGGACAGAGACTGTGGACCTGGATTCAAGACCATGGAGAGCAGTCCTGCAACTGAGCTACCCAGCCTGAATATGATGATGGAAAACCAGCGCTACAGTTGTCCACAAATGCATTCACAACAAATGTGGAATAAAGTTACAAGCAGCTGGCACTAATAATAGGTGTCAGTGCCATTTCTCAACCTCAAAGGTTATGGGGAAGGATTGTATCGGTGGCGGAACCTACTTGGCATCCCCAGGAGTGGATGCACAGGAGAAGAGCCAGTGGAAGCAACAAGCACTCGGGGCTGGTCTCCAGCCGACTCCACGTGCCCTCAGGGTGCCAGAAAACAGTGCACTGGCTGTTGCCAGCTGTCAGTATCATTTCACAAGCTCAGCTGTTCGGGGAAGTCCTACTAGGCTAGAGGGCTGTTTTGCACATTACAGCACTCTTCACACAATCTTCCTGCGTGGGGGAATTTCAAGATCTCCTCCTTGGACTGCCGTGCATGCAGCACCCTTGCCCAGGAATTAGCCCCGATGCCTGAGCAGCTGTCCGTGGATCGGTGCTTGATACAGTCTAGATTCCCGATGGTGCAGGTGTCCCAGCTATGCTGGACCCCAGTTCGTGAGACCACACCAGTGGTCTCTGCTGAGAATTACGCAGAAGGGATGTCAGGCTGGGGTGGGATAGGGCAGGGCAGGGCAGGGCAGGGACAAGAGCGCCCTGTCACTGAGTAAAAGCAGCCACTCAGAAGTACTTCAGAGAATATGCAAGGCGGTCTCATGGCAATTCTGCTCAGGAATGGAAAGGTATTTATGCTATGCAGGTGCAAAGCACAGGGACTCTGGAGTAAGGAGGCCAGTAGGGAGCAGAGAAGAACACCTGAAAGATGGAAAGATGTCTTCAAGATGTTATGGAAATGAGTGAAGGAAGATGAAGTAGTACACATCTTGCATCTTTGGACATCAATGCACCAATGTCAGAACATATCATCACTTCTTTTCATGCCAATAATCTTGGTATTGGCACTCAAAAATAAGTGTACTTGAGATTTCTGATCGAGAAAAATTTGTAATTTATAAGATGACCATATTCAACTTATGTAGCTTGTTGTTGCTTTGTTGTCTACCAAACGTCAGTATTTGCACATAGAAAAGAAGCATGGCTGAGTGCTAGATCACCTGCCCTGCATGCAGAACATCCCAAGTTCAGGCCCCGGGATCTCCAGGTAGGGAAAACAGAGCTTCATCCCCCACAGAGCTGCCGCCAGTCAGCTGTCATCAAACTGGGCTAGGTGGACCATGGGTCTGCTCTGCTCTAAGGAGGCTTCCTCTCTTCTTACCATTGTCACGGCCTAGGAAAGCTTTTGGCAAAAGTATTGCCATTTTTAAGCTGGCTGGCTGTCTGGCTGTCTGTCTTTGCAATCACAAGCAAGTACAGCTAATCCTCTGCAACCTGTGCAAGGATGTTTCCCAAGATATGCAAAAATACATAGAAGCTCACACTGTGCAATGCTTGCATGTGCTGGTGTAGAAGTATGCGAAGCAGAGGAAATTGTGTGCTTGGGTTTTAATAGCTACAAAGACATATTATCTGGGCCCATTTCAGTCCGGCTTCAGACCCGGGTACGGTACTGAATCTGCCTTGGTCGCCCTGTACGATGACCTGTGCAGGGAGAAGGACAGGGGGAGTGCGTCCCTGTTGGTTCTCCTGGACCTCTCAGTGGCTTTCAATACCATCGACCATGGTATCCTTCTGGATAGGCTAGCGGGATTGGGGGTTGGAGGCACTGCTTTGCAGTGGTTCCACTCCTATCTCAATGGCCGGTTCCAGAAGGTGGTGCTGGGGGAC